CGCTGTGGACGAGGCTGGATCCAGCAAGGAGGATGCTACCGCTGCGCTTCTCGGAAGCTTCAAGGGCATCGAACTTGGCCTTAGCAATAGCCTTGGTCAGGTCCTCCTTGCTGACGGTACCCTCGGCGATGCTCTTCAGAGCCTTAGCGGTCTCCTGGGCAGCACCACGGACAGCAGAGGCTGAGCCAGCGAGCTGGATAGTCAGGAGGCCAGCGTCAGAGTAGGACAGGTTGACGGTTGAGGTGGACAAGCCCGGAACAACACCAACAGCCTTGTTGATCAAGCTGAAGCCAGTGGACCACTTGATGTTGGACTTGCCGCCCAGCAGAGCCGCAAGTACGGCAAGCTCAGGAGAAGCCTGGCCAGTCGTGGCACCGGGGAAAGCGATAACATAGGCGTTTCCAGAGGGGCTGTAGGTACGCTGCTCACCACCAAAGTACTTGGTGGCGGCGGTGTTCAGGGCCAGCTTGCCGGAGGAGGCAGAGGGAACCGACTTGAAGAACTGCTCAGCCCACTTGCTGACGTTCGCGGCAGAGGCACCATCGGCGACAAGGGCGATGTTGGACTTGGCGAAGGCGGCCTGGGCGAAGTCGGAAACGGCGTACTCGCTGAGGTAGGGCTGGATAGGGATCGAGGGCGTCAGGTTGGAGGGAGAGCCGAGGCCGGAGTGGAAAGCAACGGAGTGGGCGGAGTCAAGGGCAAGAGCGGCAGCGCTGGTGGCAGACTGCTTCAAGCGGAGAACAGGCTGGACCTCCTCGTGGAACTCGTGGGCTAGATAAACGGTCAACCAACCATGCCACAATCTCACATGTGTTTGCGAGTCTCACTGGTGTACTTGGTCTGGGAGACGACCTCGGCGAGGAGTTCCGTGAAGTAGGGAAGGTCATCGCGGAAAAAGCTGGCCTCGAGAACGAGGGCTTCGCGGGTGTGGTATGCGGTCAATTGGCTGCCGAGGAGTTCAGACTCGCGAACGATACGCAGACCAGAGCGTTTTGTCGTGTTCTACTCGTTGAAAATCATGTCAGCGCAATGTCTACGTAGAAAACATTCCAAGGGTTGGGAACAGGTCGCATCGTACCTTGAAGGCGAAGGACTCGAGGCCAGCGGCCAAACCAGGAAGAGGCTGGTATCTCGTACCGGCCTTTGCCACGATGGCCAACTTGGTCGTAGGGCCCTGGGAGTCTCTGGCAGCAACCTTGACACCACCAACGTCGGCGGTCTCAAAGGCGCCGGAGCCAGCAGCAGCGCTGGCGAACCGGCGACCCGAGATTGTGCGAGCACAGCTCGAGTTGCGGAGGGTCTGCTGCGCAGCCCTCGTGAGGGACGGTCTAGAGATCATTGCGATGATGCGATTGCCGACAATTGGCAGATCCAGTTTCGTGACGCTCGATTCGTCGGAGCTTCAACAAGAAAGTGCCTCGTTCACATCCCGACCAATTTTCGATCCATCGAACGAGGTTAGCTACGGGTCACTCGTACCGTCACGTGATGGAAAACTGCCTTATCCCCGAACCTCCAATGAAAGCCCGTCTGATTACCTGGCACAGGGGCCGAACACTCCACTCTGCTTCCTCCATCGCCCGTAGTTTGCCTTAGGTAATCAAAGTGATGAGTCGCAGAATCCGTGAATCCCAGGTTTCCGACATTACCTAGGTTGTGAGGCTGGTGTCAAGCCACAAGCCACATGCCATGGTAAGCACCCGCCATCCCAAGAAGGCCTCAATTGACGTCTCAATTTCGGGCTCCATTCGAGCGTCGCAGATCCATTCTTACCTAAGTTTTTGGCACTGCACCTCAGAGGTTCTAGCCACGCCTTCCATCCACCTGGAGCTTCAGCCTCCATGACTCTGTCGGTGACTCGGCGCTTTCCATCGACTTTGTCCCCCACCCCGCCTTAGGTGGCCCGCCGCTCAGAAAAAAAGTTCCCATACTTTTATTTCAGTCCCTCCACCACTTGAAGACCGCGACCCTCACTACGACAAAATCATTCGTGGCCAAGTGCTTTGTTCAATACCCAGCACACGGCACTGTATTATCTCAATGACTTCTCGGTAGCTTGTGTGGCAGCTCTAGGGATATCGAGAGGATCTCTAGAGTCAATTGATTCCTGAATCCAAGCTTCGCCATGTTGGTGGTAGGTTTCGCATCGCGCTGATCAAGCTGAAGTCATAATCCCTCTAACTCCTCCACCAGACCAAGCATGGCGCTGAGCTATGCGCTCACCTCGTCAACGATATATGCGGCGAGCTACCTGCAGTAAGTGTTAAACACTATCCCCATGTCTCACACGGCGCAACATCATCGCACACTCTACACATTATGTACTCTCAACTGATCATGCTAACAAATGCTCTTCTTCCAGCGAATTCTGGCTGTGCTATTCAGCAAGGGCAGATCTACCATTGCTCAACTAATCCAAACCACTGGTCTTACTCCGCGGCAGCTGCGCCATGGCCTAGCCCTCCTCGTTCAGCAAAGCCTTATTTACCACGAGTCCGACTCCAATAACAAGATCGGCACGTATGAAGCGAATCCCGATGGATGTTACAATATTATCCGCGCTGGGAAAATAATCGAGATGGTTGGCACCGAATTCGGCCCCGCGGAACAGGAGATTGTACAAACTATTATGCAGCTCGGCCACGCTAGGGTATCGGATCTCTTACAGGCTTTCGAGGGGAGGAACGGGACAGGTCTTAATGGCGACCATGCGACGAATGGCCATGTCAATGGCAACGGCTCTAAGGCAAAGGTCAACGGGCATGGGCCGTCGCATGCGGCTCAGGAGCTCCACGCTGTCTTGAATCGGCTAATTGTGGCGGAAATTGTTGATCAGGTCGGGCCCAAGACGTTCAGAAACCCTGAAGACGTTTACCGCGAAATCGAAGAGGAGGTCACCAAAACGGCCCCTGGCGAGCGAGCGACAGCACGGAACAAAGAACTCATGCAAACAGAAGTTTCAAAGAGACTCCGAGAGGCACGCGACGAGAGCAAAAAGTTAAAGCGACAAGTCGGACGAGGTAACATGTTTTCGACCAAGCGGAGGAAGCTTGCCAATGGCAAAGGAGCAAGAGAATCCGCAGACTGGGATGAGGATGTACCTGAGATCGACGTGAGTCTTCATCTGCACGAAATACTCTCTTCCTCTTCCCTGGCTAATCACAAAGTTTAGTCGCACATTGTTCTCAGGGTCAACACCGAGAAGTGTCTCGTTGAGCTGCGAAACCAGAAGCTAGCCCAGTACGCAGCCGATGCTTTTGGAGAAGTCACCGGCCTTGTATACCACACGGCTCTACGGCTGTTGACGCAACAGGTGTCCCGCTGTCAGTTGGATCCGAGAATCGACTCTGATAACGACGCAGACGGTCCAGGCTCAAGCACACGCCAAGTCACTGTGACCAGTCTGGAAATACTCGAAAACCTTGATGAATCCGTTGACGTCTCTCATGGAGTTGGAAAGGCTTCTGCAGATCAGATTGACGTTCGCAGTGCTGAGAAGGTTAGAGCCACGCCAGGCCAGCCTATGTATGATTCCGACGACTCTGATTATGAACCTCCGATGGCTCCGAGGGCTTCTGCTCGTCCCAACATGAACGGCGCAGCAGATTCGGGCGGTTCCGAAGACGAGGGGCCACGGACAGCTTCTGGATCCCGCGAGGTCAGATTCGAAGATGGGCCCATATCCGGCGCTAGCCGTATCGATAAAATGAGGCAGCATTTGCTACTACTATCTGAAAGCCGGCAAGGATTTCTGCGGCACTGTGGCAGTCAAGGCCGAGGGCAGTGGACCGTCGATTTCAAGCCATTAATCGAGGGTTTCAAACAGACAGAGGTGGATGCCGTCATCGAGCAGTCATTCGGTCGGCATGGACTGCGTTTGACTCGCATTATGCGAGAGAAGGGCAAGCTGGACGAGAAGATGCTCCCGTCTCTCGCTCTCATGAAGAAAGGAGAAGTTCAGGGCAAAATGCTTGCCATGCAGATGGCCGGCTTCGTTGATGTTCAGGAGGTTCCCAGAGATGCCAGTCGAACAGCGACGCGAACAATGTTCTTCTGGTTCTTTGACATTGAAAGGACCGAGGCGCAGCTGGTTGATGACTACTACAAAGCAATGCTCCGATGCCTTCAAAACCTGGAAGTGCATCGCTACCGAGAACGCAACATTCTGTCATTCGTCGAGAGAAGGGACGTAAAGGGCAAGGAGGAAGAGGTCATGACTGCAGAACACTACAACAAGTACAGCAAGTACCTGGAGTTGCAGAGCAAACTTCTGGCTCATGTCATGAGACTGGACGAACTAGTGGGAGTCTTCAGAGACTACTAGATTGAGGCATAGAACCGTACACTACGCCTCAGGTGCCACCATCATCGGCATATGCAATGAGCTATTGAGCGGGTGGCTCCAAATTGGGGAGGGCAAAAGGATGATAGATACCCAAAATCAAAAGGAAGCGCAGTTTTTTCCAGGAACGGCGTCTCAGCATTATATACAGGCTTCCCTAGCTGAAATGGGGGTGCGACTCTATATTTCGTCCAAGCGGAACGTTTTGTTCTGACAACATGATATGATTTCGAGTGAGAATTTACGTTCAGTAGGTCGCGGTCAAGTGAATCCATATCTATAGACCGAGCCGCAATCCAGTCCGATCGGTCGAGAACGGTCTGAGCTAGCGTACCGGTCGGTAGATGGAAGCTGCTTCGGCGCGGCGAACCAATCCCTGCCGTGCTAGGCTCCACTTCCCGGTGCTCGGCGATCCAGGGGGGCCTGTCCCTGCAGGGTCAGCAAAAGTTAAGCTGCGAGTTCGGTCCAAAGTGGTTGAGTAAAAATTTCCCAGCTGTCGACTCCAAAACTTTGAATCACCCTCCTCTTTTGAGCTCCTGATATCCGTGCCCCCACGACCTGACGACAGTCCGAACCTCTGGAACCCGCCTTTCTTTGCTCTTGTTCAATTGGATTTCTATAGTTTCCTCCTCGCACTTTATCGCAGATTCCTATCAAGATGTCTCCGACTGCTGGTACTGGACGGGAGAAGGAGTCGAACACCGCGCGACTTCTGGGCTCCGGTATGCTCCCTCTTTTTTGCGCCCGCGCATGAAAGCCCGGCGCGCTGACGTTTTGCAGGCTCCGCTGGTATCGCTGAATTGGCCGTCTTCCACCCCGTGAGTTCCACGAAGAGCTACGATTAGTTGAAGAGCTGTGGGACGAGAAGCTAATAAGAAGCTCAGGTCGACACCATCGCGAAGCGCTTGATGAGCAACCAGACCAAGGTACGCCGGACCGAGCTCCACCCCCTCCCTTTCCTGCCTCCCGCAAGCAAAGCTTCAACGACGTGGGAAAGCTGACACGTTTTCGCATTTAAGATCTCCGGCGTCGAGCAGCTCAACAAGGTCATCTTCAAGGACACCGCCAACGCGACAGCGGGCCGCAAGTTCGTTTCGCTCTTCCCCGGTCTGGGATACGCCGCCGGCTACAAGGTCCTCCAGAGAATATACAAGTATGGCGGTCAGCCCATCGCCAGGGACTTATTGGCCAAGAACTATGGCGAGGACTTTGAGCGCGCCTTCGGCAAGAAGACTGGCAAGGCTATCATGCACTCCACCGCCGGCAGGTGAGTAAATTCTCTCAGTCGCAAAGCTCGGAGACCGAGAACCTGTGGGGACAGACTCGCATTTCTGACGCACGACTTCATCACAGTTTGATCGGTATCGGAGAGATCGTCCTCCTTCCCCTCGACGTCCTCAAGATCAAGAGACAGACAAACCCCGAGGCCTTCCGCGGCCGTGGTGTTTTCAGAATCGTCGCCGACGAGGGCTTCGGCCTGTACAGAGGTTGGGGTTGGACCGCCGCCCGTAACGCTCCTGGTTCTTTCGCTGTAAGCGCATTCTAATCTCAATTTCGGGTCTATGACAGTGACTAACCTGTGTTTCCTTCCTATCGACAGCTCTTCGGTGGTTCCGCCTTCACAAAGGAGTACCTTTTCAAGCTCGAGGACTACAACAAGGCCTCATGGTTCCAGAACTTCATCGCCTCCATCGCCGGCGCCTCCGCTTCCCTCCTCGTCTCCGCTCCCCTCGACGTCATCAAGACCCGTATCCAGAACCGCAACTTTGAGAACCCCGAGAGTGGTTTCAGAATCATTTCCAACATGATGAAGAACGAGGGTGCCACCGCATTCTTCAAGGGCCTGGTTCCCAAGGTAAGACTATTCAGCAGCTCCCCTTCAACTCCTTCTTCTATCGACCACCTGCTGACATTCGATTTTCCTTTTAGCTCCTCATGACTGGACCCAAGCTGGTCTTCTCATTCTGGCTTGCACAGACCCTCATTCCCGCCTTCGATGGCATGATTAAGAAATAAACGAAGAAGAAGAAAAGGAGCCTAGATGTTCACAACAAAAAGAAAACAAGCAACGGCGTTGGATGGGTAGAACGTGGAGTCTCGGAGCTGAGCCCGATAGATCGTTGGCATGACGAAGACTCGACGAAAGGGTATAGACAAAGATGAGAGAGCGAGGCCTAGCAGCTACCCGAAAAGAAGGTTGGCTTGCGGCCCGGTTAATGTACAACAAAGTAGGGTTCATCTTGATGAGAAAAATCGCCTCTGTTATTAATAAAGATACATGTCAAAGACAATGCCTCTATCGGGAAACATCAAGGCTCTTGGTCCTTGGGGATGTGACTTTTAAACCTGCAGAAGCCCGCACACTGGTATTTGAAGCTGTCTGTGGGTGCTCCATTGCTGGGCAAATCTCAGCTTGAGGATCAATATAACACACTTAATCAGGAAACATAGGCTCTACAGCTTAGCAATGGCATTATCTCCCGCAAGCAACACCTCAATTTCCCGTCCTACGGTAGTCCCTCTCTCAATTGCCCCGTCAATGAACCCTCGCCATCCATCGGCCCAATCGGCGCTCGCGAAGTGAACCCTTCCTTCTGGTCTTTGGAGCTCCCTTAGCCACTTGCTCATTGAATTAGGTCCCCAGCAACTCCAGGTCCCTTTGGCAAGGCTGTCGTTGGCCCAATCGTGGGTGAGGTAAGCTGCTACCTCAGCTTCAGGTCTGATGTTATTTCGAAAAGTCGTGATCATCTCAGTGGACGCCTTCGTGTCGATATGACGCGCGCCATAGCCAAACCCGATGCAAAAGTTGCCAGAGTCTGCTTCGTCAGTGGTGCCGTTGTGGTCTGAGAATGCAAAGCACCAAGGGGAAGTCCCATATCCATTCGCCATGGAGAACCATCCCGGTTCAGGCTTCGCAAGCCGGAAATGAACCTTGCTTCCCTTATTGATGTGACCTGCCCGAACGGCTTCCAGTCTGAGTGGTGAGAGCGGGGGGGAGAAGGACACGTCTGACAGACAGTTCCTTGGGCATATTCTTAGCATCTTAGGAATTCGAGTTGAAGAGGAAGCACTCACAGGGGAATAGTTGAGATACAATATTTGGCCTCGAACCGACGTCCGTTCTTCGTAGACACCACAACAGTCGATCCCCGCTGCTCTACCTTCTCAACCACGGCGTTGAACACCACATGTCCGCGGTAGTCATCCAGGATCGCTCGGGCCAGGGAAGTCATCCCGCCTCCACCGAGCTTGTACATCCCAGCAAGCTCAAACGTTCCGGCCATAGAGTGGCCTCCCAGAGCGTACCACCGCAGGACTTCAGTGAAACCGCACTCGCTGCCGGGGACCGCGCCAAAAGAACTGATCATGGCGTCGAAGAGGTCCTTGTCGCGTTGGCTAACGTCGAGTTGATCCAGGCGGTCTTTGGCGGAGAGATGATCGTACTTTGTCCAGAGCGCGGGAAGACGGAATGGGTCGTGGGGATAAGGCATCAACTCGCGGCTGGACAGACCGTCGATGGAGAAAAACGCATCCGCGACATCTTGGACGGCTATGTTGGTGGCAAGAGTATCGACCAGCGCAGGCCTCGAATCTTGTGGTGTGTAGAATGTGTGTTCCACGGCAGCTGTGCCTGAAGACGTCTTCAGGTTGGATTGTAGGCCGTATCGATGGATTTCTGTAAAGACGTGGGGTTGGTGCCTGTTTGTCCTCTAGTTAGCCGGTCTGCATCATTTGTTTGGTGACAACTTGAAAAGACTTTCCAGTGTACCCATGTCCCGCCCATCTCAAAGTCCTCTCCTAGCGCATTGGCTGTCCATGTCCTTCCTCCTATGCGATCTCGGCCCTCCAAGAGAAGAACTCGAGTGCCAGAGTCACGGCTAAGGTTGCGCGCGGCAATGAGACCGGCGAAGCCGCTTCCGATTACAATTACGTCGTATGTTTCTGTGATGGAAGATTCCAGGGTAGATTTGATCACTGCCTTTGTACTTAGACCGATCGTCTCCCCGGATGGAGTCCAGAGGTAGCCGTCTCGAGTTGAAGGCATGGTGTGAAAGGAGAACAACGGGTTGTAGAGCGGATGATAACCTATGACGATGTCCAATGAGCAATTACTAGAGCAAGCTAATAAAAACAAGTTGGTCCAAAGCCTGAAGTCGACTGGAAAGGCAGAGTCTATTTATGCCCATTTCCATCACTCCCGTCTCTGCTATCACCGTTGTCGACTACATCGTGGCGGGTGGAGACACATATTTCCTAATTAGGACAAAAAGTGCGAGGTGCGCTAATACATCCTGAAGCGTGTAAACGGATGGCATTCAACTGCCGAGACCTCCAAACTCGCTGATAACGCTGGTTCTTCTTTGAGTCTTTATACTTGAATGCTTTTCTACTTACTCCGTCTCTGCTGAGACCAATGCCTGGTAAAGTCTGCGGGTTCTTATGTGTAAGTCTGGGCTGAAGTACCTATGCCATGCTTGTTGTACCTTTACCCCAACATTGTTTCTAGCCCCCTTTCTTCCATTACATCGATCCAATGATGATTTTGACTCTTTTGTATGAGATCACCAGAGCAATCTGCAGCGTCTAAGTTATCCAAGCGCGCCCAAACTTCCTCCAAGATGAGCAACCCATGCCTCACGGGCTTCAGTCGAATCAACTGGTAAAGCCAACGGGTGCGTGTTCTTACAAAATCTCTCCACCTTGCGACCTCTTTCGAACTGCCTAGAGACTCGATACCTCCGCCGGCAATATTCTCTCTCGAAACTAGACCGAGAACGCTCCCGGCGATGATGAGCGGTAAAAGCTGCGTCGAGACGGTGCCAGATGTGACGGGTATCCCTTCCGTGATCCAGAGTATCCTCAAAGCAAGATTGCAAACTCTTTCTACCGGCCGGTTCTTCTCCTGCTCGTCACCATTCAGCCCGGCGTCGTGGTTCTGAACGACATGTGTGCCCACTACTTCGGGAAATGCCCTAGTCAACTCGAGTAGAGCCGCCAGCCGGTAACATTGCTCCATGGCGATGAGGTGACCCAGAGGCGTAAAAACATCCCCGATATCCGTGAATGAGCTCACAGTCGGCGCTTCAAGTGCCGAAATGCTCTTTATCAAGGCCGTGGCTTGTCGTAAGAGATCCGAGTAGTAGGATGTATCTTGGATAATGCCGTCACTCCTTTGGAACATGCCCGAAGAGCTACGCCGCAGAGCTCTCAGTCTCCTCACCAGCGCCGCCGTTTTAGCGAGGTAGATGAACATGGCTGTTCCGACACCTGTCCAGGGACATGGGTACCTTTTGAGAGAACATGGAAGGTGGCAGAAGACGTCTAGATAGGATAGGGCATCTGTATCTTGGTCCACGATGAAGGAGCTCATGGCTTCCCAGTACACCATGGATGAGATCACAAAGTCTTGCGTCGCGCCCATTACTCTTCTGTCGTTGGTGGTGTTGAGATGGCTGGATGACATCCAAGCCTTGAAGACTTCCCTCGATCCGTGGAGATGCACTAACCCCGTGGAAGATACGTCGTGCCAGGCCTGTTTGTAAACTCATCAATCATAGACCACAGGAGAATTTGAATGAAGCCGAGAGAGCGTTGAGAACATACCGATGTCATTCCTAGTAAGACAGTCCCCAGCAGTACATCATCTTGGATATTAGATCCAACAAATCTCCCTACTGTTGATTCATGGCGGATGGACACTTCAAGCCCGTCGATAGGGGGTGGCGTGGGTAGCTGCCCCGCTAAGTATGAGATGGCCTTGGTCTGGAGTTCCAATGGAACAGCAATCTTTGACTCTTCGTTTTGGTACAGGTGTGCGGCGGACATGCTCAACACGCAGTAGAGCAGCAGCGGAGACTGACTGAATAGCCTAGGCACTTCCGAGCGGAATGGATTGTGCAAGGAATCGAACGAGGAAAGAACATGGCAGACTGTAGAAAAGTAATAGTGCAAGAGTGCTGATACCTCTCCCGAACAGTCCTGAAACGGCCTGATGGTACCTATGCTCTTCAACGTTCCTGACACCAAGACAGTATCGAATTCCCTGGTCTCAATGGGACGGGGTACATCTTCAAGATGTGTAGGTGCCAGCAATGTCGGATTCTCCGGCAACACTGGGAGTCTCTGGTCACGTTCAGCCAGTCTGGAAGTCTTTCCTCTGCAAACATTGGCCGTGTTGCGGTCAGAGACCGCCGTCTTCTCATATTTGGTAGACCATTTCACAGGTCTCTTGTATCCGGGGCATTCGGTCCCAATCTTGATACATCTCTGGCAGCTCGGCTCTTGCTCGTCGCACTTGACGCGCTTTTGGTTTGCATTCCGTTGTTAGGTTTGAGTCTCAAAGCTTTCGATAGAAATGCCAGCTCATAACAGACTCACCCGTCGCTTACACACGAGGCAACCACCTTGATTAGAAGCCGGGTGTTAGTCAAGGGGCCGACCATAGTAGATATAAGAGGTGCGGGCGTTACCCACTTCGAGACTTTTCCTTCTTATTCCGAACGGGCTGGTTCATCGTCATTGAAATAACAGAGATCTAAAATCCAACTTTATTGAGAATTGTTTCATCCAATCCTGAAGTATGGTGGTTGTCGGCTTGGTGTTATCGGGTTCCCCGCTCTCTCGGAACTTGTACGGAACGGTTCGGTGTTGTGGCGCGGAACCGGCTCCGACTAAGATAAGGGAGATAAAGAGCATTTGCCATCTCAATGATGAGATTTTCGTACAACTTAGAGAGCTGCATGGTTTCGGAGAATCGTATGTCTCAGAAGGAGGCACTACGTAAATGTAAGATTGAAGAGAGGTGGACTCGATTGTGTGGACCTCCCGTGCCTGATGTTGGTATGAGGGTTGAGGGATTGGAGGGAAAGTTGAGGCAAATGTCTTACTTCCTACTTAAACACTGAGATCGCTGTGTCTAGTTGTCATTCGTTTCCTTTCCAATGGGGCTATTCGTCTATAGAGGATGAGGCATAGTCCTTCTATCCTCGAAGAGCAGGAAACATGTCTAGACAGAATATCACGCTCATCGATTATCGCGAATCCTATGTTTTCTATTTGTGCCGCCTCACACGAATTACAGTGACTCATAGATCATTAAAGACTCATCATTAGATAACCAAAGTCTGAATGTCATACTTTCAATGTCAACGGCTCAGTCGCCTTTGGGGCTATTAGCAAGTGTAAGGTCTTGTAGCGCGAGCTTAAGACAATTGCCGTATTGTGAAAACGAACTTTACGAGAAAACCCTATGTACTTGTTTGATTCATCTCAACTAAGTAGCCCAAGAAGTCGGTAGAAGAACAATTCTGCAAGGAACGCATTCTCTATTGTCCCTCTCATGCTCTTTGGTGGAGTCTAGTGAAGGTTCGGGGACTAAAGGGGGCAACAGCCAGATATCTAACACAAATCTCATATTATCAGGAGCTATTCTGACATCTAGTCCTCCAGAAGAGTTATCTTGAAGTGTAAACAGCCTCACTTCCACTCTTCACAACCACACAAACTTCCTTCTAGACACAATCCCTCGTCATCCCACCACGATATCATCATCTTGCCCGCCTCAAACCACCACATACGACCATACCCATTGGAAAATTCGGGATCCCGTCCGCTCTCCCATAGACAAGCCAATGAGGGCCGGATTAGTAGTTGGGTCGGTGACGACCAGCGAATACCTGGTGTTGTATGTTTTTTGGTTGATTCTCGTCGTGTCTGAGGTTTTTGTGCTCCACCACGGACAATCTCACGATATGTCCCCACTTTGCTGCTCACCCCGGCTTCACGACCCACATGTGATACCTTGCTGAAGATGCTTTCAAATTGCGGTGAGAAGATCAGTTTGATTTCTTTGGGGGTATTTCCGTATGCTTCATTGATCTTGTATACGGTAGGGTGTTGATAGGAAGTGGAAAGTGACGGGCGTTTGTTTACCCTTGGCATGGCCTACTTTACGGTACAGACACACTGCGATGATAGCACCGCATGCAGCATAACTCAATTGACATAATGAATGATATTCAATTATTTCTGCCTTGAATTTGAGTATTTTGGCCGAAGGTTGGAGCTCTCTACTGCTATGCTTATTGCACAACAAGTTGACTAATAAGCGATATTCAACCGTCAACGGTCTTACGGGATGACACTTCCCCCACGTCGCCCACATTACAAACTTACGCTTTCGGCGGAAATCGAACGGTCATTCCTCCAGTGTCTTAGTCAACGATTCAAGCTGCTTCCCCTCCTCCACGATGTTCAAGGGTCTTGGGGTCTTGGGGTCTTGACCGGGCGCGACTCGTGAGCAACCCAGGCGCGGGGGGATCGACTGGGAGTTTAGGTACTAGTAAAAGAAAAGGGATCATCCCCGCTCTTCCAATGCAGACTTTCAAGCACGAAGATGGATTAGTGGAAAACGAGGCCCGTCCGTCGTGTCGTGAGCAGCTTTGGTTCTCGAGACTTATGTGGACCACAGCGTTCACCAAGTGGAGGGCCCAAACCTGGAAATTGTTCCTTTTCAGGGTCTTTCTCGAGACAGTGCCAATATCGTCGGTCGAGCGGTCGTGGGAACAGACGTGCATTGTTGTCTGCTGTCGCGTGCATACGTGTCTGCGACTTTTGACTCGTCGATCAGTCCATGCAACAATGTGTCAGGTGGTCACGAAAAGGCTGGATCATGTCCCACTGCAACTCCGAATCTGAATTCTTTTTTGGGGGAGAGAGATTTCTCAGATCCGAGGTTGGCGAGGGTCAGGCTGTCACGCCGTGCACATTGCGCAGAGGGTTTGTGGTTGCATTGTCTGGGGTACAGGCGGTTGTGGCAGGATGAACCCTCTTGCATCTCGAATGGGTCCTGAAGAAATGACGTCGATGTTTTGATGCGCGGCGAAGGGCAGGTACGACGGCAAAGCACCGTTGTGGAGCCTCTTTTCCCTCTGACGGGTTTCGGCATCGTCGTCAAAAACGGGGCCGTGTACCCTCACGGAACCGTTGGATGGACGTTGCAAAACGCCTGTGCTGGCACACGGCAGCGGGATAGCGCGCCCGGAAACGAAAAAAGGCACGACAGTTCCACGAGGGTGTGCGAACCGCACCGGCGGATAGTTCGACCCGAGCCGGGACGATCTTCAACGGCTGAGAAGCCTCAAGGAAAGGAAATTTCCGATTGATACACTGTAAGGTAGTGTGCACTCTGTGACGGTAGACGGGCCTCAATTCGACGAATGCAACGCCCATCATGGTTGTCGTCAATCGGCATACGGGATTGGTCGCAAAAGGCAAGATTTGGGGGCGGTCTCGTATGGTCCGAAAGCCCGACGACACGCCGATGATCCCTTCCCTCGGGACCAAGGGAATGGCCCACAAATCGAGTCAGCAAACGGTTTCACGTGCGTGGTCAGTCCTATGAAGTAGATGATGACTTGAACTCACGTTGAGAACTGTAGATAGGAGTGTAAGCGATACGTAAATCGCCTGTGACTTCAGAGGGCCAAGAGCAGCGTGCCGAGCGTGTAGTGTCATAGTACGGGATGGACAACGCGGCCCAGGATGGATTGTGTGTAGTTGTGCGGCGTCCAGTGCCTGCGAGACGTGGGGCTGGACGGTCGAATTAGAAATGGAATCTGTGAGGGAAGGTTTGTCTGGAGTTGAGTGGTCCCTCAATCTCTCTCTGATCTCTGAGCCTCGCTCAGTTCCCATAGTTTTTCAGACGCGTACGACGCAGCAGGTCCATCCACAGATCCATACTTAGTGGGTGAGTAACTTCCTCAGCCTCTGAGAAATGAGAAGGAGGTAATCTGTGTAATCTGTCCATCTGGCAATCGCATTGGACAGCCCGTCCCTTCTGCAGAGAGTTCCCAGATTCCCTTCCCTTGGCTCCCGGAACCCATGCGCCAGACTCGGATAATCCTCATTTCAGGGGCGCAGGACTGAGGACAGAAATCTGTCCCTTGCTGCTCGTCCAGCCGCAAGAAAAGGAGGTCGTGTGCCCCGTCCTGTCTACGGTATCCTACGCGTTCCCCCAAAGGAGGCTCATAAACTCAACTACCATTCATCCAACCTCCAACCCGTTCTCGAGCAACATTCGTAGCCCGGTACTCCGTACAGACACTTCATTCAGACCGACCACCTGACACTCCTTTTGTTCGATAAAGGACACCACCCACGACTCGACAAACACTCGACCGCATGACCGTTTGTTGACCTTCCCGCTTCATGCTTGCCATTCCCATCTGTTCTTTTCACTCTTCTATCCCTGGTTCTTGAGGTACTTTACCATACCTTATCTACCGTATCGCTCCTTACCGTCCAAGCGGGTAGCCGCCTTAGCAGCAAACCATCTCACGTCCTTCATCGACTTCGTCATCGGCACTGGTCAGCACATTTACCAACCCCCTTCAATCATTTCATCGCTCTACCGATACGGAGTGCTGCTGCGTGCTGTGTGCTGTATCGACGGGGCTCTGTGCCAAGGCAAAGGGTCAGGTAGATCTGCGCTACTGGGCATACTGCCTCAAACCCGTTAGGTGCTATCTGTACCCTAGGAGAAGATCGGACAGCGGCGTGGATTTTCAAGAGTTCTCTCTCTGCCTGTTGCATCCGTTTTCCCCATCGCGGCATCGTCTTTGCTGCACCGTTGCGTAGAAGCATCATTCAGGTGGATTCGCGCGCTACTACTGCGTACGGCCTGTACTCTTTTTGCCCCCTTGGCCAGCTGCACCCTGTACCGAAAGGATACGGGAAGCCTGAAGGAACAAGGTTGGCTTCCATTTCGCTGGTCATCTGCTTCTCATCGGTACCTACCCATCACAGGAAGACACTTCCATCGAGCCGGGATTCCTGGACATTATTCTTGCCCTTCCATTGTACCTTGTCTCTTCGCTCTATTCGAAAAGAATTGAGAGACATTGACATTGGCATTGATCGAGAAGAAGAAGAGGAGAAGAAAGCAGAGACTGGAATTTGATCTCTGGAATTCTATTCTCAGGATACCTCAGTACAGAGTACCTACTTTCCCGTCTTCAGCTATTCTTGCACCTGTCGGCGGCGATCCACAATTTGCTGCTCAGCGCACAAGCTACAGCCTACAGCCTAAGGAAAGTGGGACCCCCAGCAATCGGTTTCCTTGGTCTTTCCCAAGTTCACAGGCTTCCTGGAAAGACCGTGTGTCACTGTGCAGCAGGTTGCATCGACGGCATCCACTCTTGGAAAGCACCAACCAAGCCGGACTCGCGCCGCCTGTCTGCTGCTCCTGCCGCAAGCCTGAGTTGAGCTGTCTCTTGCAGTTTCTCTGTCGCTCCCTCCCGTCCCTTCCCGCCTCTTTCCCTCTCCCCGTATCTCTCTTGCCTTGCCCTGCCAGCCTGTCTGCCTGGCACTTGCCTTGGCCTGGCCCCTCCCCCTTCTCCTTCCCTTCCAGCCCAATCCCATCCCGCGCCCGTTCTGTTCCAGGCCCCTCCGCCCCAGCAGCAACAGCAGCACCAATAGCAGGCCTCGATTTGCTCCCCAATCCCTTTTCCCAGGTTCCCC